CCCTTCTGTAAACATCACGCATTTCTCCATCAGTGTCAGCTTATTTTATATAGCAGCTATACAGCAGTTTTAGGAGAGTGGAAAGCGCTAGTGATGAAATCAGCCTGAATTAAAGCATTTCATACTGATGAGATGGGAGGGTGCCTGCTCTGTAGCTCGCAGATGTTACATGGCTTATAGCTTGTTAATGCCTTCAGTTTTAAGCACACAACACAGTGGAATCCTGAATAACAGTAAGGGACTACAGCTCTTCATCCAGTCCAGTTCAGCTCATGTTGCTGGATTCCTTGCTAATTCCACTCAGATCAGATGCGATCTATTTAGATAATTTGTATTTATTTGAACCTAGCATGACTTCACATCTTGTGCTGATCATCCTAGCCAGATATTATTTATCGCTGTGTGCAGGCGCTGCTCTACTTCAGTGTGTCATCAGTGTTTTTCCCTGCCTTGCAGAGTGCAGCTTGCCGAGGAGATTCAGTGCAAAACGGGCCCATATTCTGGAAACATGCTGTCTGTCCCGCTGGATGTCACTGTGAACTATGGGGGAAAGACATCAAAGACTGTTGGCAAAGCATTTCAGTTCTTGGAAAACCCTAAGGTCGTGGACTACAACCCTGGGGAGAGCTTCATGTGGTGAGTCCTTTCCCTCAAGTCATGGAGTGCAGATGTTAGCAGCCATTCACTGAGTGATCCATAGTCGTAGCAAAGCAAGATGTTGCAGTGCAGATCAGTGCAGTTCTGAAGTTTAAAGGTTTTTAATTGAATGATCTAATGAAGAAAGTAGACTCAAATGTCTACTCTGCTCTAACATACGGGCTTTTTGATCAGCCAACCTCTAATGTTACCATTAATGTCAAGACGGAACATGTACCTAAACACATAATGTAACGGTATAGGGATATTTTAATAAACACAGAATACATATTCCGTATTCGTAATCTCAGACTCTCTTTTCAGTCAGCTAAACTAGTATTGCCAGCATCAAATCACAGATGTGCTGCCTGTTTTACTAACATAAAGGAACTGACTGAACTCTACAGCAGAGACCTGCCAGCTTGAAGAGAAAGCATTAGTAATTGATATATTGGCATACAAATCTTTTTGTTCTATTAACATGTTTTTCAATTATAGTAACTGCAGCAGACGCTGCAGCATTTAAGGCGCATTGAGCGACCAACAGTCCCTCTAGGGTCTTGGGTCCACAAATTATAATGTCCCAACAAGTAGCTGCAGACCTCTTCAGAACCACCATTAGCACGTGTCTGCAATTTCATAATAGCAAATGCAACAACGACAGGACCCGTTTCCGAATTCCACGGCCAGTGGCACCCGTGCGTAACGGGACAGATCAGGGGTCACGTCTTCGTGATGAGCTGCAAAACCTCACCCATAGTTTGCGTGACACTGGTGACCCCAACTTCCACCCCTTCCCTGTCTCCATGGGCGATAGGACTGGGAGTGAAGTGCACACACACTGTCATGCTCATCAGAATCTCATCTGCGGGGGGGGTATCCGGGTTTCTAAACCTTTAGTTCAAGACAGGGGCCAAATGGTCATTTTTGGCATTTATTTTTTTTGTGCTTTCTGTTGTATTTTATTACTTGTTTTTTGGAGGGGGAGAACTTTTTGTCCCAAAACGGAAGTCAGGCTGGAGTGTGATAATTGTCACCTTCTTGTTCTGTAGTGGAGGGAGGAACATCTCTGTGTTTGGCCGTGGGTTCGATTTGGTACAGCAGGCTGTGATGAGAGTGGTGCCGTCAAGCATGAAGAATACCGATTCAGATTCCAATAACCAAACGGTAAGGGGCTTGAGTCCCGTCCTTTTCTCTTTCCCTCCCTAACCTTTCCTGTTAAAAAAGTGCACAGTTGCACTTCCAGGACCCAATGTACTCGGACATCCTGTAACGAACTTTAGAGCAGTGCTGTCCAGTCCTGGTCCTGGAGGAAGCTCTGTGTCTACAGCAGGGGTGTCCAGTCCTCGTCCTGGAGGGAATGCTGTGTCTACAGCAGGGCTGTCCAGTCCTGGTCCCGGAGAGGGCATTATAACTTCAGCATTTTCAGATCTGTTAAAGCAGCAGTCCCTGAAGAGAAGAGAGACATTATTAAACTGCAAAGGAACAACTAATAGGTTTATTCCATGCTGAAAAAGAAGAAAAGAAGAAGAAAGAAAATGCAACGTTTCGGCCGTGTAGCCTTCTTCAGGTGTGAGGGCATTATTAAACTGGTCCAGTAAGGCCAGTAACTAGCTGGTTACTGAGTTGAGCTGGAGCGATACTTTTGTCCCCTCCAGGACAAGGACTGGACAGTGATGTTTTTGCTCTGTGCAGCCCTCTTGATGTGCACAGCTGGGGATTGATAGTAGTCTGACATTAATGCTTAATCATTTCAGCTGCCTATCTTTAGTTTTGTGTAAGCAGGTGCAAACCTCAGTGTCTGCTAAAAAAACAAAAATTGTACTGCTTGACAAAACAATCCGCTGTGGGATATACAGACTGGACTGAGCTGGTATCATCTCCTCTTGGATAAAGGGACATAAAGCTGTCTTTGCTTTTTTCCAAAAATCGAGATATGAGAAAAATGTTCTGTCGAGTTTCTCATTTTATAACCCCTCACTTGTTTTTTGATCTCCTTTCTTCTCACTTGAGTACAGAGTGTTTCCTTCCTGCTTTATTGTGGCATTTGTGGTATTCTGTTTCTGCTAGTCTTACTGTACATTCCAGCAGCAAATGGTAATACAATACTGTACATTCCAAGTACTAATTGTGGGCAAGTGAGATTTCAAGGCTTGTCACCTCTGGGTTTGTGAAGACATAGGCAGCAGATATACAGGCAGTCAGCTGGTGGTGGAAAGGTGGTGCTGCAGTGCTGTGCGTCAGCAGTTGCCTTGTCCTGCAGTTTCACGAGCCAGCTCATTGGAAGAACGACACCGTGATCGAGTTCCGCTCCCCGGCAGTCAGCAACAAGTACGAGAATGACGACCTCAACACCTTCATCATCCTGGACAACCTGGAGGTGGACCTGAAGGACATCAAGACCGATGCGAAGTTCGAGTACCACTCCGACCCCACGTTCCAGAACCTCACGAAGACCACCATCTCTGACAACAGCGCCATTTCTGTCAAAGTAAGTGCCAGCGCCTCTCTGGAAAGACCTTTGATAAGCATCTGCAAACCGTTTCAAAAGTCTTCATTTTTAAAAGGTCCCTTGCTAATATGGCAAACTTGCATATAGCTCTTTGCCCGTTGGTATTAATGCCAAAGATTGCACATTTAATGTCCTTGTTTTTGCAACTCGCTCATTCTCTTCTGTTTGCATCTCTTTTTTTTTTTACTTTTGCCTTTGAATGTTTCTAATTCATGCTAAGGCCTGGAAGTAAAGTGCTAAAAAGGGTATCAGCCCCTCCCTTTTTAATGCTTTGTCACTGTGGTGTGTATTTGTGCCTCAAAGGTGTGCTAGGTGTGAATATGCACTGTAAACATGGCCTTCAAGACCATAAAACTTGCATTGAAACCGAATAGCACAAATGGGTGTTCATTTCAGGGATGGGGTGTGGGCATGCATTATCAGTAGCAATGTTATTGCAATTAGCTGCACTGTAATACTGACACCACAACCTATGCCTTATCCCCACAGGGCAAAGGTTTTAAAAAAGCCATGACCAAGAAGGAGGTCGAGGCGTTTGTGGGAGATAAGGCCTGTAAGGTGACAAGCCTTGAAGATGACATGATTTACCTGAACCCTCCCACGGAGCGGCCCACAGCCCAGTTCAGGCGCCCCAAGAGAGACACCAGCTCCAACCTGGACCTTTTAGTGAGTGTTGAAGCTCTGGGGGAAGTCTGAGATCACTACATCTCTGAGATGTGCTGCAACTTATGAGCGACAGCAGTGTAAAACGAAGAAATCCAGCAGCAGTGAACCTCACTATGAAGGAAACATGCATTCTTATATGCGTTTTCAAATTGGGGTGATGTTATTGGTGGAGTGCCACAGGGACCTGCATTAGGACCACCACTCTTGCTAATTTATACCAGTGATTCATTTTCTAAGACGGCTAACAAGGTAAAATGCAGAAAAGCACAGAAGGATTGACACTCTGTAAATACTACAAAGGCAATTAAATTTTATTTATTTTTTTTAGATTTATTCAGAGTTCAAGGCAAACAACAACAACTACAGATCATGTGAAAAGGTTACGAACTGTTACATGCAGGTAGTGAAAGGTTATCCATAACATAGGAAACGCTAAGCTTGAAGAACCCATCTATGGAACAAACCCTGGTGGTTGTGCTAACAGATCCGTTTCATCCTGGAATGGTTTATCACACCCTAGGCCGATAGAGATCCTGCTCGTATCCCATGTCAGTTACACGTTTACTCTCAATCTGCTCTTTCAGATAAAGTTTGGAAACGGAGAGTGGGTGGTGGGTAAGGTCAGCTATGAAACAAAAGACCAGGTTCCCCTGCACATCATCATCCCCGTGGTGATAATCCCAATGTTGGCCATCATCGCAGTCTCCATTTACTGCTACAGGTAAAAAGCATCTCCTCCCGTACACTCACATGGTCAGCAGCAGTGACCACACCCTTCCCATCCGGAACTACTGACTGACTCATCCACCAGACAGGAGACTGCTCCCTCTAATCGTTGCGTGGTCGTAGAATCAGCCTTCGTCGTTGTACTATGCCCGAGACTAGATGGTGTACCCTAAAGATAAATGTGGAAGTTTCTCAGTGCTACTGTGACAGCCTTCTTGAGTCAAAACCAGATTTTGTATTAAAGACCCAACAGAGATTGCTAACAAATTCCATGTCTCTTGAAACAAAATGTTGCATGAATCAAACAAATAGTGAGTAATTAAGGTACAGGGGGATGTAAAAGAAAAAGTAAGTGGTCCCCTAGTTTCATGACCTCCGTTAAGGGGATCATGTTTAAGTAATAATGTAGGTCTTGAAGGTTGAGGTTGGAAGGCCCCACCCTATAGAAAGATCAGGAGCGTTGTGCGTTTGGTCTTCACCCTGCAGACCACGACCTAAGGGAGTCTCTGCGATTCCTGCGTGTGCGTGTGCCTCTCCCTGACCCTGTTGCCGCGTGTTGCAGGCGGAAGAGCCAGGAGGCCGAGCGGGAGTACGAGAAGGTGAAACACCAGCTGGAGAGCCTGGAGGAGAGCGTGCGAGACCGCTGCAAGAAGGAGTTCACAGGTCGGGGGGGCTACCGCTCAATGAAGCCTCTCACTTGCGCACAACATATTTCTCTCGATGCCCATCGATCTCTTTTCTCAGACGAGCTCTTGAAGTGTTTGAGATGAGGTTCAGGCTTAATGTTGAGGTGCAGCTGTGGAATCTGTATAATTCAGCAGTGATTCCGCACCTTAGAGTACCTTAACCCCAGTGTGGCTGTTTAAATCTCTGCCCTGATCTTTTGTCGCTGCCCATTTTACTGAAGATAAAGCTGTTTGAAAGGAAGTGTGCTTGTGCAGGATATTCAGCAACAACAAAACAAGCTTTGCTTCTGCAGGCTTCATGATGCTCTTAGATTGCTTTGTGTCAGTTAAGCACGGTCCCATGTCACACAACCAGTCATGGTGATGATAACTTTCCTATCTTGATCTGTTTTTTTTGTTGAAGACTGTTTTTAATTTGGTTCTCAGCCATAATTGAAAGTCTGATTTGAGTTTAAAATTAAATGAAGGGCACGTAAGCACTGCTTTCCACTCTGTGTGTACTGTGTCTGCCTCAGAACTGTAGCGTTCCTTCTAAATATTTGAGCTGCAGTGGAACTGTAGGGTTCTTTCTAAATATTTTCAGGAACAGCAGTTCCTGGATTTGGCAGGAAGTTAATCTCACTTTCCCACCTCCCTGAATCCTGTGATGAACCAAAGTCTGTGTTGGTTTGATTTGACAGACTTGATGATCGAGATGGAGGACCACACCAGCGAGCTCAACGAGGCGCGAATCCCCTTCCTCGACTATAAGACTTACACCGATCGCGTTTTCTTCCTGCCCTCCAAGGACGGGGCAAATGATGTGATGATCACGGGCAAGCTGGACATTCCTGAAGCTCGACGAGCCACTGTGGAGCAGGCTCTCAACCAGTTCTCCAACCTGCTCAACAGCAAGCCCTTCCTCATTAATGTATGCAAACCGACACCAGTCACGCTCAAAGGCCTGTCACTCACTGTGCCTGTTTAGCTTCTGTGTGCTGTCCCTGCCTCTGTGTCCACTGTGCCCTCTCGGTGTGTGTACTGTCCCTGCCTCTGTGTCCACTGTGCCCTCTCGGTGTGTGTACTGTCCCTGCCTCTTTGTCCACTGTGCCCTCTCGGTGTGTGTACTGTCCCCGCCTCTGTGTCCACTGTGCCCTCTCGGTGTGTGTACTGTCCCCGCCTCTGTTTCCACTGTGAGCGCGCTCAGTGTGTGTGTATTGTCCCTGCCTCTGTGCCCACTGTTGGGGCTCAGTGTATGTGTACTGTCACTGCCTCTGTGTCCACTGTGGGGGCTCAGTGTGTATGTGTATTGTGCTGGTCACTCAGTGTGCACTGTCCTGCCTCTGTGTTCACTCAGTGTGCACTGTCCTATCTAGCATAGTGGTAGTAGTCCTGTGAAGATCATTCAAATTTTGTTTCTAATGATACCTGTGTTTTCTGTCCCGGTGAGTAGTTTATCCGCACGCTGGAGGGTCGTCCTGATTTCAACGCCCGAGCGAGAGGCTATTTTGCCTCCCTGCTGACAGTGGCCCTGCACGGCAAGCTGGAGTACTACACGGACATCATGAGGACGCTGCTGCTGGAGCTCATGGAGCAGTATGTGCACAGCAAGAACCCCAAGCTCATGCTGCGCAGGTAAGCAATCGTGCAGCAAGAGTTCTCCCACTCCACTCGCACACCAGCAAGTGTCAGTCAGAGATATCGTAGCATCAAAGGTCCTCAGATACTTCAAGGTGTTGACCCAGTCAACCCAGCGACTCTACAGCAGTCAGCAGTGAAACTCAAGCTGGCACACACAAGTCGAAACTCATTGAAGGCCATTTAAAACCAAGAACTGGGGGGGCACTTCTTTACACAAAGAGTGGTGGGAGTGGGGAACAAGTTGTTGAACCTGATGCCCTGGCTTCTTGCAATTAACAGCTGGACGAGATTCTTGGGACGTTAAACCACTAACTACCAAACGGGCTAGATGGGCCAGATGTCCTCTTGTTTATCACTGTTCTTGTGAAGTTAGTCCTGTGTGTTTTGGCAGTGGTTGCGAGGGCCAAGGACGGTGCTACAGTCATAGTGATTTTACATTTTCCATGTCAGTGTGGAAGGAACCTCTGCTGATGTTATAGTGTTGTTTAATGAATTTAAGAGGAGTACAGTGGGACTGTACAGACAACCAGCATGTTTACTTTCATACTGAGAAAATGGCATTTTGTGTCCTATACACGGTCAGGTTTTGTCAGGAAACATGCATCCTGGAGACACTGCAGTAAGTCCTTGTGGTAACCTTATTGTGGTTATGGTTCTATCTTCTCTGTTCCTTCTGTCTCCAGGTCTGAAACAGTGGTGGAGAGAATGCTTTGCAACTGGATGTCCATCTGTCTTTACCAGTTTCTCAAGGTAAGGGGTTTGGAGTTTCTCAGTACAGGCCTCGCTTCAAGCCTGTTGCACAAACAAGGACTGACCTGTGATTTTCCTGAGGTCTTAACAAAATGATTATAGTAATATTTGCAAAGCAAATTCAGTCTGCATAACTTGCATTTCAGCTTTGTGAATAAAAGGAGTTTTATTTTTTAAAAGTCATTTTTCAAACTCGATCCCAGTGGATTCCAAAGCACCTTTAGGAAACCCACTTTATCCTATCTGAACTGTTGCACCCATTCCAACTGTAGGCCAGCAGTTCCACGGCACAGCACACCAGCTGGAGAAGTAACCCGTTGCTTTAGCAGTTAATCGAAGAGGGATCTTTTAAGTGCAAACCCAAAGTGAAATTTAGTCAGGACACCAGGGTTAACACCCCTGCACTTAGGAAAAGTGTCATGGCATCTGAATGACCACAAGCAGTCAGGATCTTCATTTAGTGTCTCATCTAAAGGGCATCACTTCCCACAGCAGTGTCCTTGGTCATTATTCTAAATCAATGGTTTGGTTTGACTCTGGTCCAGAGGGAATAGCGCCACCTACTGTTTCAGAATCGCCGCTCATGGCCACCTGGTTTTTCTTTGAGGTCTCCGACCCCAGCACTACCCTCTCCCAGCCTTCCTCAGTTTCTGAGATCTGACAATTTGAGGCCACAAGGCGTTGGGTTTGTAGTTCGCGCCATAAACGTTCCCGACGGAAACGGTCATCTCCGTCGCGCGTGCTTCCCGCGGAGCGAGATCAGATAGACGGGACGATGAGCGCGTGTCTGCACCAGCGTCAGCCAGGCTGTTGTGCATTTGTGTGCGCAGGACTCGGTAGGCGAGCCGCTGTACAAGCTCTTCAAGGCCATCAAGCACCAGGTGGAGAAGGGCCCGGTGGACGCGGTGATGAAGAAGGCCAAGTACACTCTGAACGACACGGGGCTGCTGGGGGACGACGTGGAGTACGCGACCCTGGTGAGTCCGCCTCCCCCCGCGCGGCGAACCAGACTAGACGCACGTGCATGCCCGCGAACAAACCAATACTGTTCCTTTGTCCTGTGTGTAATGTCTGCGTGTCTCCTGACTTCCTGTGAGGTCTGGCCTAGATGACACACACGTGTTTATACAGTACACGCACATACATGGGTAAAAAGTTTGTTTACCCTAAGGAATTATATGGATTTCTGCATGAATGGCTCCTAAATGTGATCCGATTTTCGTCTAAGTCATAATAATAAATAAAGACTTATTTAAGTCTTAAATGTATTTAAACAAAGTCTTATTTAACAAACAACACACACCATTTTACATTCCCATATCTTGTTTTAACAAATGGTTTAAACAATCAAGGTCATTGATGGGAAAAAGTACGTGAACCTCTAGGATAATGACATCTTGAAAAGCTGGGTATCAATGAGTCAGGTGTTCCAATCAATTCAGGTGTGGGTTTTGACCTGCCATATAAAAAATCACACAATTGTGGTTACCAGCTCTTCACAACAGAATTCTGTTGAAGTGCAATACAGCCCGATCAAAAGAGATTTCGGAGGACCTGAGGAAGAAGAGTTGTTGAAGCTCATTAGACTGGAAAGGGTTACAACAGGATTTCTAAAGACTTGGGCCTCCATCAGTCCACAGTCAGGCAGATAGTTTACAAATGGAAGAAATTGTTACTCTCCCTAGGAGTGGGTGTCCTACAAAGATCAGTGCAAGGGCATGCCCACACAATCCTCAAACAGGTGACAAGAAAACCCCAGGGTGACAGCTAAGGATCTGCAGATCTCTTGCACTTGCCAACGTCTGTGTTCATGAGTCCACCATGAAAAAAACACTGAACAAGTGTGGTGTTCATGGGAGGTTACCACGGAAGAAACCACTGCTCTTCAAAATACATTGCTGCCCGTCTCAAGTTTCCTATAGACCACCTGGATGTTCCACAGCACTGCTGTGTTCCACAATGCTCTGTGGAAAGAAGAGGCAAAAGGTTAACATTTTTGTAAATGTACACAGTGTTATGTTAGGAGTAAACAAAACTCTGCATACCAAAACCACATCCCAGCTGTGAAGCGTGGTGGAGGGAGTATAGTGGTGTGGGGCTGCTTTGCTGCCTCAGGGCCTGAATGGCTTGTAATCCTTGAGGGACCAATGAATTCCAAGTAGTATCAGGAAATCCTACAGCAGAATGTCAGGGCATCTGTCTGTGATCTAAAACTCAAAGGAAGTTGGGTCATGCAACATGACAATGATCTAAAACACAGGAGTAGATCAACAATAGAGTGGCTCAAACAGAAGACATTCCGTATTTTAGAACGGTCAAGTCGGAGTCCTGACCTCAATCCCATTGAAATGCTGTGGTGTGATCGCAAGACATCCCAAATATATACATGACCTGAAACAGTTTTGTATAGAGGGATGGGCCAAAATACCTCCTAACTGCTGAGCAGGTCTGATCTACAGCTACAGAAAGCGTTTGTTTGAGGTTATTGCAAATAAAGGAAGTTCCACTAGTTACTAAATATAAGGGTTCACATACATTTTTCCATCAATTACCTGGATTGTTTAAACCTTTTGTTCAATAAAGATATGGCAATGTAAAATGTTGTGTATTGTTTGTTGTTTGTTAAATAAGACTGTCTTTCTTTATTATTATGACTTAGATAAAGATCAGATCACATTTTAGGAGCCATTCATGCAGAAATCCATATAATTCCTTAGGGTTCACAAACTTTTTCTCACAACTGTATATATTCACCTATGTGTCTTTTGCGTTGTTATTGCCAGTTCATCTGTCTTCTTTGTACTCTGTTATTCAATCTTATTGTCTTGTCCTAGGGTTTTAGACTCTGATTCTAAGTTGAAATGGAGTCTCACCCTGGTCATTAGGGGAGCCAGAAGCAGGGTTTTGAGTTTATATCCCAGCAAGCAGTTTTGCTCTTGGAAGTCAGTGTTTATGACTCAGTTCTGAGCTGTTTCTAACACTCTGAACTTTTCTCTAATCTGTTTCTCTGTATAGCACAGCTTTTGCTTCTGTAAGAAATCTTTTTTGGAATATTTTTGCTTAAACTTTCATGATGGAGCTGGGTACCACATGCAGCTTAATGACAGTGAGCCTATAAGCATGTACCTTCTGACAGAAACGTGCTCATACAAGTTTAAATTCCCACACTTTTGAAGTCTACAATTTCAGTCACATGGAGTTTCTAGAAATCCTGCCTTGTATCTTGAGAAAGTTTGATTTTTCCACCATAGTAGTTGGTTATCATTTCTGCTGTGCTTAAAGAACCTTTTTTTGTCTCCAGCTACCGACAGTTAGCTTTTCCAGTACAATACCAGTTGTATGCAATACTCCAGGTGAAAATACTGCATATACACTACCTGTATAGTAGACATAGAGTTGTCCTGTGGCCCAATTGCACTGTTTCCCTCAGACCCTGCAGGTACTGGTGCATGGAGAGGGCCCGGATGTCACGCTGGTGAAGGTGCTGAACTGTGACACCATCTCTCAGGTCAAGGAGAAGATCATCGACCAGGTCTACAGGAACCTGCCCTACTCACAGAGGCCCAAGGTGGACAGTGTGGCTCTGGGTAAGAAGCCTGCCTACCTCACAGCCCAGCCTTGGGGAACTACTCTTGGGTGAAGCAAACACCCTCTTTTAACAGACTGAAAAGAAAAAATAAAAGTACAGCACAGCGTGTTTTTAAAGTGCCAGTTGTGTCTTGCAAACCAGATTTCTGCACAATATCATAACGATGGACCATTTAATCCTGTAAAACTTTAAAAATGACAAAACACTGTAGCATTTAATCATGCAAATCTTTCCCGTTTTAAAAAACGATCAAGGGAGTTTAAATGTCTTTTTGCAGGGTTTGCAGGGTTTTGGTGCTAAGGTTGCGAACTGAGTGTTTGATGTGTTTATCCTGCTCTTGTCTGCAGAGTGGCGCCCTGGTTCCACGGGCCAGATTCTGTCCGACCTTGATTTGACCTCCCAGAAGGAGGGCCGGTGGAAACGAATGAACACGCTGGCACACTATAACGTGAGTTCGGCTGCACTTCATTACTGTAATAATTAAGGCAGCAGCCATATCGCCCTGCACCTCCCAACTGGCAGCTCACTTAAGCTCAGCAGGTGTGAGCCTGGTCAGTACCTGGATGGGAGACCTCCTGGGAAAAACGAAGGTTGCTGCTGGACGAGGTGTTAGTGGGGCCAGCAGGGGGTGCTAACCCTGCGGTATGTGTGGGTCCTAATGCCCCAGTATAGTGATGGGGACACTATACTGTAAACAGGTACCGTCCTTTGGATGAGACGTAAAACCAAGCTCCTGACTCTCTGTGGTCATTAAAAATCCCAGGGCGTTTCTCGAAAAGAGTAGGAGTGTGTAACCCTGGCGTCCTGGCCAAATTTCCCAGTACGTGGTGAGGATACTGATGCACTGTGGCTGCCGACGCATAATCCAGGTGGGGCTGCACTCTGGTGGTGGTGGTGGAGGGGAGCCCCCATTACCTGTAAAGCGCTTTGAGTGGAGTGTCCAGAAAAGTGCTAAATAAGTGTAAGCAATTATTATTATAATAATAAAGCAGTTGCCTTCACTGACCTGGTTATGCGTCAGTGGTAGGGCAATTTTACGGCAATTAACTGGAACATTGGAGCGCAGAAACTTGCTCAGGGGTGCAACTATATAACCGCAGCACCCACTTGGGATTTGAGCCAATACCCTCTGGCCCATACTCTAGGACCTCAAGCAGCACTTACACAAAGGCTCTGAAGCGTTTCTCCAGCAACAAACAGTAGAAGAGCTGATAATTAGTGGAATACAAAACCTACTGTAGGCAAACAGGAAATTAAGAGACTACTCAAGAATATGAATTGAGTAAATGAGAAATGAGGTATGAGTAAAACAGGTTTTATCTCTAACAATATAAATCTAATTGAAAACCCCTTTCAATTAGCACTAGTTTAGAGATTTATAAAACCACGCATTCAAGGTCATTAATTCCACATTCTTAGTTAACATTACAAGATAAAATTTATATCAGTGACGATCACAGCAATTCTATTTTTAGATTTGATTCTTTCTCTTCAGGTGCCTTCTAAACCGGACAGCTTTTCACCCGCGCGTTCACCGGTGCTTCTGTCTCTTTCAGGTCCGAGATAACGCCATCCTGGTTCTGTCCAGAGTCCTGCACCCCCAGCAGCCTGACGAACAGCACCAGGACAACCACGAGGAGCGTGAGTAGCACAGACAGAGGGCGGCGTCTGCAGACTCACCCCTCACAGCTGTCATGACCAAGCTACACAGAACAGCTCTGAGGATGAATTACTTAAAAAATTCATCGCTTTTTTTTCCCCCCCTGGAATAAAAGCTTGTGTCTGCTCCCGGTGAATTAGATGTTTCCAAATCTCCACTTTCAGACCCTCTTGATCTATAATGCCTAAAAACTGCTAACTAGCAAATGTCAGGTATTAACCTCCTTAGCTTTATAATTTATCAGAAAGCGTAAGGCCGGTTTTTGGATTTTGAAGCTATAATTATAGTAATCATAATATAATATTCTATTTATAATAATATAATTATAAACTAATTATATAATATTTAGTTATATCACTGTAATTTCGAATGTAAAGGCCTCCTGCTTGCTAGAAAACGCTTTTTTTGTAGCCTGGTTAGAAAGGGGCCTTGCTCAGGACGTCCCGCTGAGGGTTGCTGCTCCCTGTCCCGGCAGGTAACGCTCTGCTGGAGGACGACAAGGTGTTCCACCTGGTGCGCCCCGCGGACGAGCTGGACGACGCCAAGTCCAAGCGGGGCAGCATGAAGGACAAAGCCATGACGAAGGCCATCACCGAGATCTACCTGACCAGGCTGCTCTCCGTCAAGGTAAGCCAAGGGCTGGCTGTGCCGTGTACCGGACCGAACGGCGCCGAGGTTGAAAACAAAAACATTCTGCTGTGGGGGGAGGAAAAAAAATCTGGTGTACTGTATGGGAAAAGACAATGTCGCACCTCTGCAGTGATTCAGATATTCTATGACTCAGTGATCCAGTTGGGGAGATTTTACAGGAGAACTCTAGACTTAAAGGAGCAGTGCTGTCCCAATTTCTTAAAGCAGTTATTTCATCTTGGTAACAGATTTATTGGCAATGTAGAAAAAATGTACAAATGTAAAATTAAGCACAAAATGGTGAACTTGGTGAAAATACCGAAAGTCACAAACCCCTGGTCTCACCCAGGGGCGAGAGCTAGCGTTCCCGAGAACTGCGACGTGAAGCAGCCCTTCCTGCTCACTAGTCACTGTAATGACTGATGTCATGTGATGTACAAGTGAACAAGTACAGTTTGTGCAGAGGGTATTTCACCACAGAAAAGTTCCAACGTGATCTGCATGCAGAGTTAAGTAGTATTTATCCACAAAACCGTCTTGAAGTTGAGAGCTATAAAGTATCTATTGGATTAAAAGAGCTCTATTCACAAACCTGCTTGTTCATAATGTCACAGGGCCGCTTCACCCAACTGGAAGTTTTGTTGCCTCGTTCGGAATCACTGGACATGGTGCTGCACATACCTTGAAATGTCTTCTATCTTCTGGTGTAAATTGGAGGTTTTACAAGTTACTGTGCACATTTTACTGTTATTGTGGTTTGAAATGCACTCGTCAATGCTGATTCTTTCTAACCCCAAAATATAAAAATAGCGCTGCAGTTCCCCTTTAAAATGTTTTAGGAATAACTTTTATCCTCCTTTGGATGAATGTCAACAGACATCAGCAGAAGACTACTGGAACTGCCAGATATATTCTTTTTAAATAAACATTTGTCTGCCATTAAACAGCACAGTGCCTTATTACATGACTGTGAAATAAAGATAACCCTGTAATAAGAAAAAACTACATTTTGCTGTAGAAATCACAAGAGGGAGTCTGTTTTATTTCCTTGATAAATACAGTTGCATTTCCCTTAGTTTTACAATAGAGGCTCTTCTTGAGTCTGGTGTCCTGATTTAAAATAATCAAGACTGCAGCCACCTGAGAAGCTTATCCAGTAGCTGGCTCTGCTGCCCTCAGGTTCTAAACAGAGGCGACTGTGTCCCAGGCAGTGGTGCAGCTATCTACAAGTTAATAATAATAATCCTTACACTTAAATAGCGCTTTTCTGGACACTCCACTCAAAGCTCTTTACAGGTGATGGGGGGCTCCCCTCCACCACCACCAGTGTGCAGCCCGTCCTGGATGATGCAACAGCAGCCAAAGTGTGCCAGTACGCTCACCACACATCAGGGAGGAGAACAAAATGAACCAAATAATAATAAATGGGGATTATTAGGAGGCCATGACTGGTAAAGGCCAATAGGAAATTTGGCCAAGACACCTGGGAAACACCCTGAGATTTTTAATGACCACAGGGAGTCAGGACCTCGGTTTTACGGCTCATCCGAAGGACGGCACCTGTTTACAGTATAGTGTCCCCGTCACTATACTGGGGCATAAGGACCAACACAGACTACAGGGGGAGCGCCCCCTGCTGGCCCCACTAACACCTTAGTTTTTCCTTGAGGTCCCATTCCAGGTGCTGGCCAGGCTCACACCTGCACACCTGCTGGTCTTCAGTGGGCTGCCGGGTGTGAGCTGCAGGGCGACACGACTGCTGGCCAGCAGGTTCCTGTGCTCGGTGCGCTGCAGCAGCCCCTGCCTCACGTCCCAGCGGGGGCGGCGGGTGGAGTCTGCTCCAGTCCAGTCCAGCGAGCAGAGCTCAGAGTCTGCGCTTTGCATTCTCAGGGCACACTCCAGCAGTTCGTGGACGACTTCTTCCGCAGCGTGCTGTGCTCCGGCACCGTGGTGCCCCCTGCCGTCAAGTATTTCTTTGACTTCTTGGACGAGCAGGCGGAGAAGCACGAAAACGTAGATGAGGAGACCATCCACATCTGGAAAACAAACAGGTAGGAGCTGGGGGGTAGGGCAGTGCACGCTGGCACCAGGGTTGTTACACTAATGACAAGGAGTCTGTTCAGCTGGAATAATTCTTTCCACAAGGACCAGTTTGCTACAATATTGGTGGGACTGTAGCAATGGAATTTAATTTATAAACTAATAACTTCCATAACCTTGTAATTTATCATGAAGTGTAAGAGGAAATGTGTCTGTTTTTGTATTTTGAAACGTTTAAATCTCCAATTCAGGCTTTTCCTTGTTTAAAATAACTGAAAAAATATTCAGTAATACTTGCACCTTGTTTGCCGATGCATTTTCCAGTAATAAACGCCTTGTACAGAACAGAAGAGTACGAAAAATCTGATCAGTTGATCAAGATAATTGAGATATCTCTATCAATAACAAATTCTGTGCAATATGAAAATAAAGTAATGTGCATGTGCTATGTAGAATGGGATTGGTACAGTACATGTGTTGGGTATAGGTAGGTTGTCTGTTTGTTCCAGTGTGCTCCTGTGTTGCAGTGCAGTGAACGTCTGTACAGTTTTGTGACCGTGTGTAGTGCATCTCAGAGTGCTCCGAATCCCTGCCAGTGTGCATGTTGTCAGTGGGTCTTGTGTATCGACAGCCTGCCCCTGAGGTTCTGGGTGAACATCCTGAAAAACCCCCACTTCATATTCGACGTGCATGTGCATGAGGTGGTGGACGCCTCGCTGTCGGTCATCGCTCAGACTTTCATGGACGCCTGCACCAAAAGCGAGCACAAGCTGAGCAGGGTGAGACAGCTAGCCAGACACGTTAACTGGGGGGATGCCTGAGCAGAGCGTGGGGCCATACTGTCTTCCTGAAGAGTTACTGTGGCATGTAACTGGAGCGATGGGTGGTCACTGATGTCTTTTGGTTTATGCATCACTGTGCTCCACAGTCAGTTCTCTGAAAGACCATGTAAGAACATAAGAACAGATACAAACCAGAGGCTGCCATTTGACCCATCTCGCCCATATGGTAGTTAGTAGTTAATTCATCCAAGGATCTCATCCAGCCGTTCCCTGAAAGAAGCCAGGGGGTTGGCTTTAACAGCACGGCTGGGCAGCTTGTTCCATACTCCCACAACCCTTTAGGCAAAGACGTGCTGTAAGAATTGTTCATACAAACAACAGGGCTAAGTGAACTGAATGACGGGGAATAAATCAGTTTGCATTTTTTCATGTTAAATTTAGGATGTGACAACGAACCGAATTGTCCCGAGTTGGATCTCGTTAAATAAGCTTGGTAGTGTTTGCTCCAATGAGCTAAGGTTGAGCAGGAGTTTGTTTTTCCAGGACTGTTTTACAACACTACACTGTTCTCGAGCGGTTAACCAGTCAGGAGGTTTTAGTCACCAAAGACTAAAGAAAAAACCTTTCTTTTTTCATTTCAGGATTCACCAAGTAACAAGTTGCTCTATGCAAAGGAGATCTCCACATATAAAAAGATGGTCGATGAGTAAGTGTTTCCCATTTTGTGCGTCACGTGGTCTTTTACTGGTCTGGATTGTGACTGGGCTGTGACTTGTGTCACGTTGCAGATTTGTGGTCTTTGCACAAATTAACTCTCCACCCTCTTGTTTCTCTGTGCCTCACAGTTACTACAAGGGTATCCGCCAGATGGTGCCTGTCAGTGACCAGGACATGAATACGCACCTGGCAGAGGTGTCAAGGGTGAGCAGTACACCTTCAATAATGTATCACCCTCTAATTTGTTTTGCATGTATAGTACATCGTCCTACCCTCCGGGTGTGTTGTTCGTACTCTTAGCTTTGACGCTTTTGACACTTGTTTGTCTACAGCCTGGGAGCAGCTGTGCAAGTGTCCATTCGTGTGTTTTTTTACTTAAAGGCAGTCCTTTCCCCTTGATCTTCCAAGATGTTTGCAGATAGTTCCCCAGCACACGAGGCTCCCTGTCACCCAGCTAACTGGTTGTGGTTTGTTTCCCAGGCTCACACAGACCAACTGAACACGCAGGTGGCTCTGCATCAGCTGTACCAGTATGCGAGCAAGTACTACGATGGGGTAAGCAACTGCTGTTTGCTCCACATGTTGTAAAATTGGGAGATTTTAAATGTTCAACAGTTTAGCCATGACCTTAGTTTGAATGATTTTCTTCACAGGGGGGGGGATGCTTGTGTCCTAACCCAAATGATCTTTGAGTTCTTTGCATTTTCATAACATTCTTGACCTGAAAAATATTCTGAAAAGTGCTTTCTGGACAAAACGGACACAAAGGATTAGTTCAATTGAAAACCAATGGCTGTCGCTGGGGATTTGTACAGCAGTCTGTTGTGTTGTAGAATAATCCACTCTACTCTCTCTCCCTGCTGCAGATCATCAACTCCCTGGATGAGGACCCAGCCACACAGAATAAGCAGCTGACTCTGAGACTCCAGCAAATAGCAGCAGCTCTGGAAAACAAAGTCACGGATCTCTAACCTCGGTGTGGGGGAGTGGGTGGGCAGGGAAGCAGTATGGGCCGTACTCACACTGCGGTTTCAATATTAATGGGGGCTTATTTCACTGGTCTAGATCCCTCTAGATAGGCTGGAGTCGTGCAATCAGTCTGTTCCAGTGGAGGAACCGAAGAACTAGAGAGACTCTGATTGTGACTGTCTCTGTGCTGAAAGGCCACCTACATTGCGTCCTGACCGAAGCCAGTCTGAACATTGCAGACCTAAAACTGCAGCTGGCGATCTACAGAGATGGAATCCGTGGTTGATCAATTAAAATAGTTATTGGGGGGGG